ATTAAATATTAGAAACAAATATTTTTTATAGAATGTTTAAATAACATTTGAAAAATATTTCGTTTTGCTTTGAAATATTTACCGTTAATTGACCAATGAAAATTGAGATAATATGTTATAAAGTTTGTTCACATTTATTAAAAATAATATATTAGTAACTTTTGGAGTGTTAACGTTGTTATATATAGGTACAAAAAGTATTATATAATAAGAAAATTATTAATAACTTATTTGTTTCATGCTAATTAAGTATTAGAAACAAATATTTAAAAAATAATATTTAAGAAATATTTGCTTTTGATCTGAAATATTTAGCAAACATATAAATATTTCCTAAATATGTATGTAATATTTTGTGCTATCTGGGTATAACTCATCGGTTAATGAAGTAAAACTCATTTATTAAAACTAGTAATTCATTTACTAAAACTTTGCGAGACCTTTGGAATTTTTACACCTAAAAAAGGTCAACATTTTTTTTGAGCAACGTTTAACTGCTTTGTTCAAACAACTAAAAAAAGTCATCTAGATTTTCCCAGCAGCAGTACTGAGTTTGAAGAAATTCGACGAATTTTCTTGTAAAATCAATCTCTTAATTAAGTTAACGAGTTATAACTCATCGGTGAATGAGTTATATTATAAGTCATTTATTAAAGCTTTACGAGACTCGAGACTGAAATTCGCACATCTAAAAAAAAAAAGTTGTTCCAAAAAAAGTCGACAAATTTTCTTGTAAAATCAATCTCTTAATTTTTCGCATAAAAGATTCACTTTGCCAGTATTTTACAGTAAAACGTTAAGAAAAACGCGGATTTTTTGTTTAGAGACAGTATTATTTAGAAGTATTGACCTAAAAGTGAAGAAACCCTAAATTTCAAGTTTTCAAATAAATGATTATAAACTTTCGCTTTTTCAGTTCGGGCAAATATTTTTGGAAAAAGGCCCAGAAATGATTATTAAGTTTTGTTCATAATTCAAAGCGGCAAAAAGTTTTTCAATTTGTTTTGCAAAGCGGTTAAGACGGCGGGTGTTAATATAATTTTATAATATAATCAAATTTACCTTATCATTTTTCACAGAAAATTTTAATAACACAGTATTTTAAGTAGAGCTAAAAAATACTGCGGTTTTTGCGTCGAAAGAATTGCTTAATTGATATTTTGTTAAAACTGGAATGACTTGAGAATTTAAAGGAACTTTACAAATCTTCATAGTGATGAGGGCGGCGAATTTTCCAAATAATTTTTCGTAAAGTTTTACTCTCGTTTTTTCAAGATAATCATAATTACTATAATATAATTTTTTTGGCCGCAGTATAAGGAAAACTGTTTTCCTTTCTTTTTGTATGCCATACTTTATTAGAAATTAATAAAACATATAATGTTTTCAGCAATTCGGTTTTTACTCCTGCCATTGTGGATCATATAACTTGTAAGAAATATTGGTGGAGAAATGCCCTTTATATAAACAACTTTTATCCGCGAGCTGAATTTTGTATGCTCTGGTCTTGGTATATGGCAAACGATACGCAATTTTTTGTTGTTGCTTCCATCCTACTGCTTACAGGAATAAGGTAAAATTTGTTAATGATAAAACGAAATTGTTAAAGCCACAAAATTAATACTTTTTAATTTTAGTATATTTAAATAAATGTGGAATGAAGGATGGGTTTATCACAATTTGTATGTGGTTTTAGGGGAAATAAGCAACTTAAATGCGTCGCTGCATCAATATCTATTTTGCTTCTCTCATCATGGCTGGCGACATTTATTTTAGCAATCAAACATGATTTTGTTGCTAAAGTACAAGAACCCTTCGCTTTGTTCGATGAACTTTATGATAAGCCATGGATGCGTATCGGGCCGTACTTGATAGGCATGATTATAGGTTTGTTAAAAAAAATGACTAAAAAGTTTTTCTAAATTATGGATTGATCTATTTTAGGATACGTATTATTTAAATTAAATGGAAAATTAGTATTTACTCCAGCAGTGGTGATATTGGGTTGGATATTGTCGCTCATGTGTTTGGGGTCATTAGTTTATGGTTTGGGAAAACATGGCTTGGCGGTTCCAGCGTCAGCATTTTACGTAAGTTTTATTCAAAATCAAACATTAATTCGAATTTACTCGCTTCTTCAAAAGACTAAAAGGTTTCTAAAATTGCTGAAAAAGGTAATTCGCTAAGAACCATTTTAGAACAAAATACAGCATATGATTTAGCTAAAACATAACTTTTCATCCAAAAAGTTTGGGTTTAGAAGGATGTGGAAATCGATTGAACAAACCGTTTTTTTTCGGAATTTTAAATTATAATACACTCAAGTGAATTCAAATAATTTTCATTTTCAGGCTGCTTTGGGCCATACAGCTTGGGGCCTCTGCTTAGCCTGGATAACAGTGGCGTGCTGTTCAGGTTACGGGGGCCCATTTAACGTATTGTTTAGTTTTAAATTATTTTTGCCCCTAAGCAAATTGACTTACGGTGCTTATCTTGTACACCCGACCATCATGTTTCTTACAAGTTTTGCACTGGATGGTTCTTTGCAAATACACAACGTTTTAATGGTAAGTTGAATAACCTTTCAACAGACAACAGGGAACATTTTAAATTTTTATTGTAGGTGGTGATATTCTTTGGAAATGCAGTGCTTTCGTTTATTTGCGCATTTGTGATTTCATTGGCATTTGAGGCTCCTGCTATAAATCTGATGAAAATTGTTATGGGGTGAAATAAAATGAAACATGTGCTTGAATAAAAGTGAACACCTAATGTTTAGTTTTGTATTTTATTGACCCGCGACTAAAAATAGGCACTGAACAGCTGGTCTATTAATCTCTCTTGGTCTTAGTCTAAGTATTCGAAGCAAAGAACGAAATAAAAAATTAGTTCAACAAAGAATTTTATTGCCGACTCGGCTGTAACTTTCACAGAATATTCCCATCCAGCATAAATCACCTTATTTGATCCTTATCTTACAGAACAGACAAACTGGTTCACCCAGTTTCAACCCTAGAGGCCAAAAGAAAGTGATTCACTCTGAACATTTGGAACAATCGCGTTAAAATCCTCGAATTAATAACTGACATTTACCGTATACATTATGGATACTTATAACGAAATAACATACAGCTCTGAAGACATATTCCTAACTGGATCTAGGGAGAGATAAATTACTATAGATATTGAATTAAAAAAATATCAGTTATTTCTGTTAATCTATAGTCGCTATAGTCCGGAACCTTATTTACACAATAACTTCACTTCACTAAATAAGTACATATTTGAACAGTTTCTTTCACACGTCTTAGTAGTAGATTGCATTCATCTAAAAAAAATAGAAAAAATATCGAATGAACCACAATTTATCGTTTCTCATAGGTTGGAGTGCAGTGAAATATTCGCTATTAATAAGTAAAACACCACAAAACTACGCACCATCCAATAATTTGACACAATCATCAAAAAAACAACAACAAAAATGGCCATCAGTATGTGTTAAATAGCTGAAGCAGATACAGCGGTGTTTTGCTCATATTCGTCATAATCTTCATCTTCAGCTTCGGGTTCATCAAAGTCAGCATTTTCATCAGTGGAATCATCGGGATCAATATAGGTGTTTGTGGACGGAGAAGCCGATGGCGAAGGCCTATTTAGACTCTACAAACAGCGGTTAGTGTGGATTAGTTGGGTTAATAAGCTGCACAAACATTTAAATATTAATCTACATAAAAAACGTATCTTTAGTTGATAAGATTATTTAAAAACGTTACCTTTGGTGGTCGCCAACCGCAGCCTGGTAATGGTAATCCATCTGGTCCCAATGGACAGGGTGCATCCAGTCCAGGCACTCCTTGGTCCCCTTTATCACCTTTGTCCCCTTTTCTGCCTCGTTTTCCAAGAGGTCCCTGTTGAAAAAAAGCATTAATATTCACACCCTCTCCTAACTCAATGTTCACACTTACAGAATCTCCTTTAGGTCCTTTTTCTCCCGAAGGACCCTACAAATCAAGAAACAGAGTAAATGACTGACTAGGAAACGAAAAACAACGATTTAGCCTCATGCACTCTTAAGAATTGCTGGCTGAAGAGGTACCACAAGCGTTAAAATGCCAAAGACATTTGAATGCGATGAATAGTGAGTATTTAGTACCTCATGACCAGGAATCCCATCGGTACCCTAAAATGAAAAAAAAAACAGGTTAGTGCAAATACTACTTTAAATTAAAATTTTACAAAATTTGGTATTGGGTTTGTGTTTTGCGAGGGGTGAAAAATTATAAACTGAAAATTGCCAATTAAATTTGCTTACTGGGTGACCGAATAACAGTCCGGATCTTAAAACTCCGGCTTACTGGTTTGTAATTTTTTTTTTTACCAAAGTTGACAAAGTTTGTAACGGTTTGCTTTCTATGAGTATATTTTTCGATCTAAACTATGTATTTCAAAAGTAAAACAAAATTCTTAATCAATAAAAAATCAAATTTGTCCTCTGTTATATGGTAGAGATGTCGCTAAATCAGTAGAATTAAAGAAGAATGATAAAAACCAATAGCATCTGAATTGAAGAATATTAACAATTTAGCAATAAACCGGATTTTAGCATATGTTAGGAGCAAAAGCTGGTTTGATTGTATGATCGTATAGAAAACCGGTTTTCACTGCAACACTTAAAACTAGACGATAAAAGTACAGTAACAAATAAAGATGTAATCGAAATTTACTGGATAAAATTGAAATGATTTAGCGAAAAAAATGAATTTAAGGTCTCAAAAAAAATTTCAATAGGGCTCGAGTCTGAAAAATAAATCAGGAGCTCGATGAACTACGGTTCCACTTTCAAATCTAGATCACAATATATTATGTTCTCCATGTTAAAAAATTGTTTAATGTTACCTAAAATGGAACAGAAGCTTTTTCCATCAAAGATAAAAATAAATGAATGGAGAATTATAAATTAAATTTTGAACAGCGAATTATTCAGAACAAAAACCATATGTAATGGATCCAAAAAATGTCCACTAGTTTATTTTTTTTAATAATTCACGGTTTAATAGAACATATATTTTAAAAGGTCTTAAAATGTTTTTTCAAACGAGATGTTAGATTTTTAATATATGTAAATAGATCAGTATACGGCGGCTATCTATCTTTATTCAGGCACCCAGTAGAAGTGTAAAAAATAAGGTTCACTTGCATGTTGAGTAAAACTCGGAAAATTCAGAAACAGCTAGATTGAAATTTTCAAAAAATTAACTGCTCAAAACACCATTCAGTTTAGATGTTCTACATTTAAAGTAGGAACAGAAAAAAATGCAATTTTTGTTCGAAAATCCAATATAGACAACACATAACTTAATGAAAAAATATTTTTAAATTCCAATGTGATAAAAATAATTAGTCTTATGTATTTCTCACCGGTAATCCTGGATCTCCTCGTTCTCCTTTGGTGCCCGGTTCTCCTTGAGCACCCTGACGTAGGAGATAATAATAGTTAAACATTTAAACGAAAATTTTAATTTCGTTTATTTATATATTTCTGTGCTCCGATGTTAATATTGTTTGAGTTGGTTTTTAATCTTTATGTTCCATAATTATTTAACTGATACTTACTTTCATACCATCCAAACCAGGTGGGCCCTGTGAAGAAAAATATCTAAGAAATGAGGTGCGAAATGTGAGCTTTAACTGTAATACTATATGGATGAATCAGTTAATGGCAGCCAAAATGCTCGGCACTTCCCTGAAAATTGTCTGAACATGCAGTGCACTCACGCAAACTTATCAAAAATGCTTGTTTCTCGGTTAGTGAGGGAAATTATTAATTGTAGATTTGAAATGGATTGTGTATACAGTTGCTTCTCTGAAAACATGAAAATTAGATTTTACGAATAAGTAGGTATATTTGCATTTTCTGAAGATGAGACTTTTCAAAAATATCTGGATACTTGACACAAAAAGCGTCGTTAAATTACACAAAAGGTTTAGCGTTGAAAATGCAAATATAATTGTTAATAATTCGAAAAATTGTAGGCAAATTATATAGTACCTTAAAATCTTATCTATACTCACTTGGAGTAATTCTTAGGGCTTAAGGAAATAATATGCAGGCGAAATCAAACAAAATATCCTAATTGACTAAATTGTAGTAAGAACGATGCAAATAAAAAAGAGGAAATTGTAAAATAAAGTTTAAATAAAGGCATTGTCACATTTCCGCACATGCACATACATTTATTTATGGGCTTCTTTTCAATACATCTGCTTCTTAAAACCTAAAATAATATTCCCAAATTGTACAGTTAGATGGATTTTGGACATTTTTAAATATCACTATTTCTATGTTTTTTTTGTTATTCTTAAGCGAACCAGACCAACACGCATTCAAAAATATTTGCAAAACTCATGTAATATATAAAAAGTCCATTGAACGTTATCGCCATAAGTACAAGGGAAAAAGTGATTTCGAGAATTTTAAAACATATTCCAGATTAAGTGAGCGAAATCAAGGTTTTCCCGTTTTACTTAGGATGTTGTTTATAATAAGACTCAGTACTTACATTTTTAATAATACTATAAAAATCAGTCACGTAGAATTATAATTAACCTGTATATTACTTACAAATTCTAACCTATTATAAGACACCTATAAAAAATGTTAACATTTATTTTACAAACTTTTATATAACATTACAAAAGGTAGTTTGGAAATATGGAAAATCCCATCTTTACAGTAGCGCAGAATGCAGAACGTTTGTGTCAAGGAAGATTACAAAGAATACGAATACGAACATAGCAAATACAAAGAATTAAAAAATATATGTTGCTTCAAAGAAGTTTTACAATTAAAATTCCCAACACATGTACAACGATAAATAATTAAATACTATTATTCTAGTTTAAGTATAATTAAGTAAATTTTTATGCAAGCAGCTTAAAGTTTGGGAATTCAATGATTTCATGGAATCTGATCACTTATATATGTAAGTACTCTGTGGACGCAATTATTGTATTACAGCTCAAGAGAAACTGTTGGAAGTGCAAGCCTATGAAGGAATGTTTACTATTTCTATTTTTAAGGTTCTTAAAACTGCAAGTAATTATAAAGCAAATGAAAGTTTTCGATCAAATAAAAATTTATTCTCTGTCCGCTGATACCTTATACAAGGCGTTAGTAAATGCAGAAGCACATAACATTAAAGGTGTGTAAATAATATAAAAAAATTGCAATTATAAAAAAACAACCACAACTAACAATGGAAAATTAGTTGCTTACTAGAAAGAGTTTATGGTCGGGCGTTTCTAAACTTATGAGGCCTACAAAATGAGAAAATTCGTTTTCTGAATCCAAAATTAAGCAAAAAACGCTCTGCTTTTTTGTTTCTGCACTTCTGTTTTAAAATAATAAAAAAATAATAAGAGTTTTTCTTTGCCCAACTGAATCCTAAATGTTTTGCAACAGTTTCCAGAGAATAATTTTTATTTGGTCAACACTTACTAGGCTTCATTTAGAAACTTTGAATGCAGAACCAAAATCGACAAACAGGAAATCAACCATAATTAATTAACCTTTGATCGTTGGTAACTACTATTTTTACACTTAATCTGTTAATCATTAATTAATAAATAACACCTACTATAGCAATACATACAGCTTTTTAGTAAATATAGTAACATGTTATTATTACAATATTATTGAAATAATTTATACATGGTGCATTTGAAATGTGTGTACTCTGCCCGAGGAAAACAGAAAATCTCTGCCAGTTTTCGATAATTACAAAAGTGATAATTGATATCGGTAATAAGCCATTAACAGTTTACAATTATATTGAGCGCACTTTCAAGGCAAGACTAAAGTGGACTTGAAACATTGAAATATTCCAATAATTCAACGGAAAAGTCCCATAAGAATTAACGATTGGAAATAAATATTGCATAAGAGATCGAATTAACTTTTCATATCAAAACCAGTCATTCAACTGACATTCTTACAATCCTCATTATTAAATAGAGAAATAACCCACATTTTGTTAAAATTTAAAGCAGAGTAAAGCACATTTCCAAATAGCACTGATCGAATCTATTTATATGGTCGCCTGAAAAATTCGCGCAGTTCACTTCCAGAATTACCAGCTTCTGTTATTGTCCTCCTAAAAGATCCTCATAAGTGTGTTGCAAAATAAGTATTTTGGCGAGCTCATCCAATGGAATTGATGGCAGATGCCTCAATCAATCAATCACTTAACAAAATTGTCTTTTTAGGCAGTTTAATTCACCATAATGGTTCTGATAAGGCTTTATCTCACTCGGGCGATCGGCGATAACACAGTTTGAGTGTGTTTATTGTGTTAATGGGGTTGAATGTTAATATTTGTTAAGTCACTGCATTGGAAAACCCTGCTCTAGTCCTAGTTATAATATGATTTCCTTACCATTGCACCAGGTTTTCCGTAGTCTCCCGGTCTACCACTTAGACCCATTGGACCCTTAAATAATTTAAAAAAATCCCTTTATAACAAAATATGACACAAAACACGTCCAGTATTAAAACTCTGTTGGTCCCCAAATTAAACTATTTCTGTTTTCGTAAAACCCCGACGTGCATTAGAAATATGCAGGCTTGTAATTAAGACTGAAAAGTATATACAAAAAGAATACGAAAACAATTTCTAACTGATTCTGATGAAGGAAACCCAACATTTTAAACCAACCACTTTTCCAAAACATTTAAATTTTGTTCTGTTGTTCAAAACATATGCCAAAAATGTAGTTTAGTCGCTTTTTAGCTAATTTTTATGGACCGTGAACCTCAGTTTTTTCTTTTTAGTTAATAACCTTAAATAACCCTTTAGTCTTTATGTTCATGTTTAATAATAATACCTTAACTATGTCTAGATATTTCCTCTCTAGCTATCAAGTTTTTCTTTCGAATATCTAACGATTAGTTTCTTGTCCCTTTCTTTCCATGCCAGCCTTCCTTTCAATCAAATTCGAATCTAATAAATTCCATTCCAAAGCTGTTTCACCAATTCAATAGTTTATTGATTTTTGTGTAAGTAGCGAAATGTAAACGTTACTACATACAAACTGCTTGCCAGAGATAATATATGAGTTAAAACTTAGATCAATTTAAAAAAAATTATAAGTTTCATCTATTTAATAGTTCGTTTTCCCCAGATTTAGCAAGTTTTTTTCAGAACTTTTTCAATATTGTACACTATTGCTTTTTACAATAAATTGCTTACTCAAGTGGAAACAACCAAATGGAAACAAAAAGGAATTTGAATCAAACGGAAACTGACCTGATAAAATATTCTTTCGACACATATGCAAAACACAAAAATAATGGTTTCTAGATTTAAATTTCATACTAAAATCAAAGAGAAAGGAATAAATGTGATACAAACCATAATGTCTGGGCAGTGGATACCACTTAAGTGCAGCTGTTAATTGAATGGACATTCAAAAATATATATGTATCCTTTCTGTAAAGTGGCCTTCAGTATGAATAAATGCAAAATTTTAAAAACAGTTTTTGTGGGATTCGTAAAATCGCTTTGAGCCACAGTCTACTTTATTTTTAACAATGTCTTTCATCAAAACCGCTTTTTCGTTAATATGATTAGACTGAACAGCTGACGATTGCAGAAAATTATACGTCTGTCGTTTCGGGACGCTTAATACCAGTTCTAAATGTTTATTTTAAATATTTTATTAACAAGCGCTATTACAATAATTTAAAAAACAATTAACTGATAAAAGAAACACACTTCATACAGAGAGTTTCCAAAGGGGCATAGAATTTTATGAATTAAATATCGTATTGCCAAATAAGGTAGACCTGTTCCCGTATGTATAAACCTTTATTGCACATATTATGAAGGTTCCATATGGCATTTAATTTCATAATATATTCACTGCATACAGCTTCTCAGCTTCAAATACAGCGAATCTCATTAATGTTTCAGTATTGAAAATAAACTGCCTGTCGACGTTTTTTTATAAGTCACTCTTTCCCTCCAGATATGCATCGATGTTATTGATGTTGTAGATGCTGATGGCATAAATTCAATGTACCATAACTTTATGTTGCATTTATCTTTGCTACATTAACTACGAACTATCAAAATAAGATTCAAGAAATATTCAAGAGATTATTAATCTGGTATGTTACAACACTTATACAGACGGGAAATAGAACGTAGATTATACATGTGGCCAAAGTAACCAAAAGTATTTGAAACTAATTGCCCGCTTTCAATATTGCTTATTCGAAAAGCAAGTAATATTTTGCTGGATTTATTACGTAAAACCGATTCAAACATTTGGCCTGTTCCATATGCACCAGCTGATTTCGAATAAAAATATTCAATTCCACAAGTTATATTACAACGAGCAAAAGTTTGTTTAGCATTTTTTTGCTATTTGCTGAGTTGTTATGACAAACTAAAAGTACATAAAACAATTATTTAAAATTTTGAGAACAGTTGATTTGATGGAATTGATTAATTGAATCGCAATTATTCAATATCTTGTACTTACAGGTAAGCCCATTGGTCCTGGATCACCTTTCACACCTTTTTCACCCTATAATTTACAAAAAATCAACATTAGAACTCATATAATTAATTTAAAGGCATTTATAATTTCACTAATTTCATATCGATAAATATTTGAAGAATAAAATTTAGCGTACCGGTTCTCCTTTAATGCCATCCATCCCCCTGTCGCCTTTGATTCCAGGTGGTCCTTGCAGTCCTGGTGTGCCTGAAGGACCTGGAGGCCCTGGAGGTCCCATAATCTAATAACAATTTTCAACAAAATTATTTAACAGACGCGCACAATATTCGAATATACGTTCAAATTGGTACAAATCAATATCCTGTAAAATACTAATAAAAAAATTTGATAATGGTTAAAGTATAACAACAATTACAAAAATAATTTTTTGCCTAATTTAATGTAAGACTATGATATGTTTGAATAGTAGGAATTTATGTCTCAATAGGTTAATTCAACACACACACACACACACACACACAGTTTTTAAGAATAAATTGGAAACCCAAATGTTTAATAAAATATTAATAAAATGTATAAAACATACATTTCACAGGTCACAATTATCAGACAAAATATTGGAGACGCAATATCCCTGGAAAAAATATATTATAAAATTGTAACGCTTTACTTATGTAAACTGCACATCTAAAATGAATGCTTAATTGTTATTAAAAATGTTGCAAGTTCTCTAGATGTGAATCTTTTGCCGTTTGGTTGGACCTACCATCAAGCTCGATATTTCAAAAAAAAAAAAAATTCAGAAACGAAAATATTTCGCTTCAAGTTACCTTTTTCGAGTAGAGACCAACTTGAAACGAATGACAAATTAGTAGAAAAAAGTTATTGAAAAAGCATTTTGCTCGATGACTCGTAACGGTTGCATGTCTTAACGTCTGTAACGTTTTTCTGCTCTTATGTTTGGAAATTTAAAAACATTATTCACATGAATTATCCATCAGACTTTACTTTACGCGGATTCTACTTTACAGTATTCAATCAACTATTGCTGATGAAGTTCTTAGCTGAACTTACCATTTCTCCTCCAGATATTACTTCTCCGGTGCCATCACCCTGAAACAGCATGGGAAAAAGTACAAAAAAGACACTGTAAATACAACTGTGGAGTGTTAGTGATTTTAAAAAATATCGCTAAACATTAGCACTTAGCAATATATAAATATTTACCTGTCGGCGCCTTAGTTTCTTGTATTTCTGGAAACAAATACGAATATAAAGTTTGTACCGAGAAGATAATGTTTTAAAACTAATAATCTCAATTTAGGTGTAGAAAACACTATAAGCAAAAGAGGCAATTTTATTTTTTATATACTAGAAAAGTAAAAATGCAACTTTCCCTATGCTGTTTTATTAATTTCAAATGTATACGTGATTTTAAAAAAATTAAACAAAATAGATACTCACAGACTCTCCTTTTTCACCTTTGTCACCTTTCTGACCTGGATAGCCGGGGGGACCTGGAAGACCTGGAGGTCCCATCAAACCGGGCGGCCCAATATCGCCATATTCACCTTTTTCACCTTTAGGTCCCACCAGACCCTAGAAGTAAATGTCTATAATAAGTAAAATATAACAATTTAAAAAACGTTTGAAAATTTCGAGTGTTGGAAAAATACAGTTTAGTTATGGTAATCGATTAGAACGATTTAAGAAAAATTGCGTTAAACATTGGCGACTTACCGGTAAGCCAGGAGGACCTTGTGGTCCAGTTTCTCCATTCGTTCCACCTACTCCTGCAGGGCCTATTAGACCCATGTCTCCTTTTGGTCCTATAAATGATTAAAGTGTTTTAGCAGTACAGACAGTTGCTTACTGTATTTATAATTGCTGATGCACAAATAAAATATTTAAAAAATGAGACCGTAGATCTATTCGCTTGTCGACAGTTTAATCCTGATTAAGAGCTGTTAGTATTTGCCAAAGAATGTTACCCCCCATTAAAACTTGTATGAAGTGGAACGACTTTAGTACCTGGCAAACCTGGAAAACCGTTCAACCCCAAATCTCCCCGGTCTCCTTTGTGACCAGGCATACCTGGTTCCCCTTTTGCGGTTCCGTCTTGACCCTAAGTAAATGTTTTCGTCAGCGTATAGCTTCATATCAGCCAGACCATATGAAATTGAAAGTGTACACTCAAAAAAAGTCTGACTTTGTAAACTTAAGCAATATCTACACCGACAATTTCATATGAATCTACAGCAAACATGCCTGGATAATATACGAATAACAACATAAATAAGATATTGAAAAAAAAGGAGTACTAAAATAACTGTACAACTAAAACAAATAATCTAGTAAAAGTAAAAGTAAAAGGTAAAAGTGCATAAATATTAATATACATATGTTCATCTATATACAACGACTAGTAATACTGTTCTAAAATAATATGTGTATGCTAATGTGAATGGTGAATAACCCGGCTGATTTGATTAATTAACTTGAATTATTAATAAGTATGCTTTCGCTATAAAAATTATGTGTATTTCTCTTGATTCTTCTGTAAACAAAAATTATTGTGCCTGCCTAAATAACGCAGTAAACACGCGAGCACCACCGCCGTTTTTCGATAAAATAGATCTCTTTTAGAAAATTCCGAAATCAATCCAAATCTGGTCATGAGGACCTATTATTTTTTTTTGTTTTTTACAAGGTTTGATACCCAATATATTAATATTATTATTATGAATTACAACAAATTTTTACGGCCTTGGGTGGTGCGCGACGAGTATAGAAGTAGAAAGCAATTGATTTATGAGGGAGAAATAATGTAAATCCTCATGTTGGTGTTTGATTATCATCGATTTTGTTTTAATGGGATTTCATGTGTCGGATACAATCAAAATCATAATTTACGTAATGTGAAAGCAGCCTGTTCACGGCCGTAATGTCGCAAATGTAATAAAACCACTGGTTGGTGTACAAGCAAATTGCTAAAACGCGTGACGTTACACAAAATGTTAGTTAGCAAGTGTATTAAGCAATACTCATGAAGGATGTCTGGATTTTTACCAGTTTTACTGAATACTTTTAGCTGAAACTGATCCATACATCTTGTACATTTACATACATTTGGTTCACTATAATAGCTTAATAAGTGCTAGGCTACAGATACATACATGATTTTACAGGTGGTTCGTTGTAATAACAATGCTTTTGATTTTACAAAATTCACTGTATATCCAATAAACATTGTAAAGCTCAATTAATCAATGTAACATCTGCATTAGTTTCAATTAAATCACGCCACACTGCTTGCATTCATTATTGTCCGGTTTTCACATAATTAGAATGTGTGTTCACATAATTAGAATATAATCTAGTATCTGAAATGTACGAGTCTTTCGAATTTATCGCATTATTTAATTCTTGATTCATATGCAAATTGCCCCATCTTTGCGTTAAAACTATGTTGTCCAAGCAAAAGCTATCATCAAGCAAGCACATATTCTACAGAAAAAATAAGCACAATAAAACACATGCTCATAATGCCGAAGACCATGCAACATTTACAAATCCTTCCCGGTGATATGAAGCTATATGCAATGAGGTATGTCATTTTGTTAATTTTGTTTAAATAGTTCTCGAAGCTAATTCAAGATGTTTTACTCAAGTTTTAATGTTTAATTAGTGGATTCTTTGGCTTGGGTTAGCTTATGGAGAACTATAGGCCAAGATAGAGAAACAGTATCCAAGTACGTTACCCGTTTACCCCTCTTTCCACGAGTTCCTTTTTCTCCAGCGGGTCCAGGCGGCCCAAGGGGACCAGGTTCGCCTTTCTCACCTAATAAATTTCTATTAAATATCGATCGTTTGTTGATCAATAATATGTAAACAATTTTCGGTAGATATTTCTTCAGCAGATTTTCGTAAATTCCTGTTAATTTATTTATACCATAATTTAAAGGACACAGTACACCACATTAAGATGAATCGCTGATAAGCAAGCTATTTTGAATTTTGGAGTAAGCTAATAAATTGTCCGTCAGAAATGTGTTGGAGTTTTTGAAATATAAACCACAGCAAATGGTAAAAATTCCAGATAAAATTACCTAGATATGAATGAAGTGGGTTTCAGAAATGTATTATTAATACCCTGGTGGAATTTAACTGTTAGGTTGCTTAGATCTCAATGTATTGGTTCAATTCAAATAATAACAATAATTCACTGTCCTGTCTTGCGAACTTTATTCAACGGCTGCTTTCCAAATACTGTCTAAAACCATTGTATGAAACAATGGTGTGTAAACTTCGAAAACTTAAGATGATACAAAGTTAATTAAATAGAAGAAAATGAATCATCAATACTTATTATACAGGGTAATTCACAACCTTATAGACACAGAGCAGGGGCGTGTAGAGGGCCTCAAAACAGTTTCCATTTAAGTGTTTTTTGAGGCCCATGATACAGGGTGATGCAAATGTTGTTGAATTATTCATAAATTCGCGTGCTAAATCATTAATCCGCTTTCAACTGGTGCGATTCATTAAGTTATTAGACCTAAATATTTAGAATGTCAGTTGACGAATCAAGGAAACACTTGGAAAATTCATATCAAGTTTCATTCATATATGAAAATAGTTCATATCAAGTTGTAAATCAGTATTATGTTATTTTAGGTTCTAAATCAGTATTATGTTATTTTAGGGATTATGCAGGATGGTTTTACTAAGACCATCATTTTGAAAGTTTTAACGTTTGTCGGAGCATTTCCAAAAATCTCTAGGTTTAAGCGCTATTTTACCCGAAATCGCCTTACCTACGGCTAAAGGGTCTGAACTAGCCTACGTTAAAAATTTGAGCAAATTTTTTCTTAAACCAAATTTTTTTGAAACTTTAACAACTTGTTAACCAATTTGACAAATAAATGAAATACGGTTTTCGGGTAAAATAGCGCTTAAACCTAGAGATTTTTGGAAATGCTCCGACAAATGTTAGGACTTTCAAAATGATGGCCAAAATGATGGATGAAAACCATCCTGCATAATCCCTAAAATAACATAATACTGATTTAGAACCTAAAATAACATAATATTGATTTAGAACTTGATACGAAGTTATGAATTTTCAGGTGTTTCCTTGATTCGTCAACTGACATCCTAAATATTTAGGTCTAATAACTTAATGAATCGCACTGGCTGAAAGCGGATTAATGATTTAGCACGCGAATTTATGAATAATTTAACAACATTTGCATCACCCTGTATCTCGTTAACCATGGGCCTCAAAAAAAACTTTTATGGAAACTCGATTTGTTTTGAGGTCCTCTACAAGCCCCTGCTTTGTGTCCATAAGGTTGTGAATCACCCTGTATATTTAATTGTAAAAGTTGCAAGTGCTTTAAATTTTTATAACATACTTAAAAGTACAACGATCAATTTGACAAATAAATAAAATACAGTTTTCGGGTAAAATAGCTCTTAAACCTAGAGATTTTTGGAAATGCTCCGACAAATGTTAGAACTTTCAAAATGATGGCCTTAGTAAAACCATCCTGAATAATCCCTAAAATAACATAATACTGATTTCGGACTTGATATGCAGTTATGATTTTTCAGGTGTTTCCTTGATGCGTCAACTGACATTCTAAGTATTTAGATCTAATAATTTAATGAATCGCACTGGCTGAAAGCGGATTAATGATTTAGCACGCGAATTTAAGAATAATTCAACAAAATTTGCATCTATTGAAAACGTTGTTTTTAAGCGCCATTCCGTACCTAAAATTTGCAATGAAGTAAAGTAAAACAAAATTATACCTGGTGGGCCGGGAGGTCCTGGAGGTCCTTCAATAATCCCCGTGGGAAATTCAACGTCACCGTTAAGAGCTGTCGTATAGCCTCGTTCTCCTTTGTCTCCTCGATCTCCCTAAAATGAATCAAAATATTTGCATCTCAAAGCGCGTAATTAAAGCGCTGCAAAAAGGTTTATAGGATCGTTTAAAGCATGGCTCCATCATGGAATCATTCAACTCGCTCAAGTTCAAAAGTTAATCAAATTTTTCAATTTTACTTGTTTGAGAAATATGACTAATTGAAAACAAAATGCTCATCATCTACTAAACATCGTTAACAAGGAACAAGCTTTCTGAGAAAACTGTTTTAAGTTAATAATTCGTGTTAAAGTCAAGATTATTTGAAGCTTGGAAATAGTTTGTGTTTTTTGAAGCTTCTTATTTTATTATGAGAGATTTAAATATCATTCATAAGTTGTTAAATGTTTCAAATGTTTCTGGGTTTAGTTACTATTTTTCAGGTCTTCCCTTTAATATCAAATCTTAGGCCTAGGTTACAGTGTGTTGAGTTGCGATTTTGAGTTCTTGCCGCTCTCGGAGTTAATGAGTTACAACTCATCGGTTAATGAGTTATAACTCATTTATTAAACCTGATTAAAGCTTACTGCGCCGGTGCGCCGAATGTTTATAGTGCCGGCCACTTCGCAAAAAAGATTGTCTGAAAATTGGTAGAAATATCCTGATATCGTATGTTTAACATCAATATTTTACATTGACACACAGTTTACCTTTGCTCCTGTTAATCCATCCATTCCAGGTGGCCCAGGCGGACCTACAGGTCCCGCATCTCCTTTTACACCAGCTGGGCCAGGGTCTCCAGGCATTCCTTGTCGCCCATCATTACCGGAGGGTCCCTCAGGACCGGCTGGTCCGGGAGGACCTGGAGGTCCTGGTTCTCCAGGTTCACCCTAGGTAAAGAATTTTATATAGCAAACGCAGACTTTGTAAGTTACGCTAATCTACTCTACATGCAGATTGAAAAACTTACCGAAAGCTACGTAAAAGACCTTTCATTTTTATCTCTACTGTATAAGTATCATTTGGGATGAATACAGTTTTAATTGAATAAGCTTCATTGGCAGGATGCAATAAAATTAATTTTAATACAGTTTCTACTTGGAAGACTTGTGATAAGAACAATATTAAAATAGCAAACATGCTAGTAAATCTGCTAAGCTGATGTTGATTTTTTTATTTAGCCAAAATTAGAATCGATTTAACCGATCGAGAATCAAATCAATCAGATGTGGTTTAAATTACAATAAAATGTATATTCTATGATGAGTTGATATTAAATTAATGAAATAAAATATGAAAACACAGTTTTCATAAATTAATGTATTTTGCTATTTTGTTTTAAAAATTTTGAGCTCGATTACGATATTTATTAAAGCAATTTTAATTGTTTTATGTCCCAATAGTGTCTCTCTCCAACTCCAAGGGAATATAAAATATCATCATATAGTGAAATAAAGTAATAAGTCATTTTTATCAAAATTATTATGATCATTTTTTTGAATTGGAATACCCAAATAAAGATAATTGAAAATATGTTCCATATTACCATATATGACAATTAATGTCTAACATCTTTAAGTGGCAAGAAAACCGAAATGTTTTTTTTTTCGCAAAAACTATGAACGCTACAAGATTTTATAAAGTGCAGAAAATTGTGAATAAATGATTAGTGCATCAACCAAAAAAATGAGTTGATTTCATCCACCAAATAAAAAGTTCTGGTAGTTTTTCTACCACCACACGCAAGAATTCACCACTTGTCCAAAACGGATAAACTCGATTGTTTCATCAAAATATGATTCTTAGATAACTACAAATTCACAGCGAGTTTTATCAAAACAAATCGTACCATTCTTAATAATTTCTGAATAACTTTGACCATCAATAGCAGAGGAGCCAGACAGTTTTTGGCAAAGTTAGGTCAGATCGTCTTCTTTTGATGCAATATCGCAGTATCCTTTTGATCATGTGCTTACGGGGCACTCTGTATACATATTTAAAAAAATCTTTGCTATGAGAATTGTAAGAAATTTAATGTTTCTATAAAGATGTTGTCAATGTTACTAGATGATTCCCCAATTTTACCAAAAACGATATAAAGACTTCTGCTTCAAATTTATTTTTTAATAAAAGTCAGATATGGTCAATTCTTGCTCGTGACTCCCTAAATATGGACACTGAAGACTGATTAGTTTAGTAATTTCTACCGCAAATAGGCTTCAAAATACTACATATACCGTGTTTTTCTTAATTTATTTACGTCTGAAAAATTGCGGCAAACAAAAATCTGGGTGAGCCACTTTCTATGTTGACATAGACTTTCCAAGTAGGAACGGTACTTCTTTATTCGTGCTTAAGCCATATTTTATAAATAAACATTAGTAGAATCGGTTCTCAAGAGAAAAGCATTAATAATTCATGTGTTAACATTGGAAATGCATGATAAGAGCTTAAATTAACACATACAAAAGTTCCCTTAAATAAGATCCCGACATGCAATAGCAAATATTCAATGTTAGTGAAGCAACAGTCGGAGTACCAAAAACGAACTCACTTTTAGAGTAATGATAGTTTCCCCGGTTATGTTATGGCCCCTTTCTTGTAGCCCCTAAAAATACACTGAACATAAAATAAAATAAAACAAATACAACTACCAAAACGCATTCCAATAATAGAACTTAAAAATAAATTAATCTGCCACCGTAGAAACCAGTCCATGCCTAAACTGTGAAAATTAGTACCAATCTTACACGTTTAAATCAAAAATGTGAAAGTTGGTACTGAATCTTCCTACAACTCAAAATAAACAAGACAAACTTCTACAACACTGATTGGGGTGGTGCCGTTACCTTAACAGCCACGATTTCAGCATAACCCAGCGTACCCCCTCGAAGCGTCGTCACTGATCTTTTAAAGCCCTAAAGAGAGGGAATAATATTATCGACCTACTATTGTTTAACCATTGAGGGAAAGTTTGAACTCAAATAAATTCATAATACTTATTCATTAAACCTATTCCTACCGCTATGAAAGCTACACATATAGTAAAGACTTCAAACAGAAAATAATAAAAACGGACCATTAAAAACATAAAATAGCTACTCTAAAATAGATTCGCATAAAACATTGCAACGGAAAAATAAAAACATAACTGCAACATCCTTAGGGAATTACTTACCCTTCCCGGCGGCTGATAAAAATCAAATTAATTGAGAAAAATAAGCCAGTACAGTACAAAAGATGGAGACAATATCATTTTAAGAGAAATGTTTTTAAAAACTACTTTGCTTGGAGGAGTCTATTACTAAAGTGCAGAAAATAGACTTTTTACTACGCTGTAAAGTTGTTGCAGTCACTTTTAGTAGGTGGTAATAAAATCTTAAAGATTGCTGGGGCTTAAAGGATCATCCAAATAAATATAGAGCTCAAATTTCAAATAATTTTCAGTGAGTTGTTCTGAATTTACCTTCACTGCTTGTATCACATCGATTCCGGCGCTACCAGGCTGCCCTCTTTGACCTTTCTCTCCTGGTGGTCCCTTAGGAAAAAAATATCATTGAAAACCAATTATCAAAATACGTTTTAATTTTTTAACCAAAACCTTGTCTATAAATGTACTGACTAAAGCATCAATCGTATAACTTTCAGATTTGATCGCGAATTATTTGAAAAGTTTGCAAAAAGAACGTTAAGAAAAGTCTTATTAAGGAACTTACTGGCTCGCCTTTTGGTCCGTCCAGTCCAATCGGTCCCTGCACAAAAAGAAAGTTTGTCAATTCGGTCGTATTAAAAGTATAAAGATGAAGAAGTTAGAAAGTGAATGAGTTAGTGTGAAAACAGCTTAAAAGCTCGTTTGATTAATTTCTACAAATCTACTTCTGGACTTCAAAGTTCAAATTTCAATTGAGAGCGATGGGAAGTTCCGTAAGTATTTACTCCAATAAAGTTGCAATTTGGACTTGGAATCCGATGAAAGCTAAACCCATATCATTTCGAAGTTAGATGCTAATAGTAATAGTAAAATGTGTCTATATTTGTATAAATATATATATAAATGTTGCCTTAAATAGTCGAATGCGTAAATAAAATGGAAAAATGAAAAAGTACCTACAATTTTTTTATTTATACAAAATTTATTAAATTTTCCAGTCACCGACCATTCAACTATGTTTGACCGTTCTGCTAAATAATCCCTTTCCTGGTTCTGAATCACAAAAGCGCAACAGCATTTTATGTTTTTGTAAAGATTAAAAGCGTCCACTACTAGCAAGTTGCTTCCCGTCACCGAAAGCAATAAAACAAAATGAAAATCAACAAACCGGAAATCCCGGAAATCCGCGCACCCCTTTCGGACCCTGCAACAGACATATTTCATTGGAATTTGTTTTTTTTCTTAATTTTTACCGATGATTTACGTTCCAGCTTTAACAACTAATATCATAATTTGTGAGATTAGCGGATATACTTTAGCTTAATGGAAAACGCTAACTAGTTTTACAAATTTATTTGAACATGATACAATTTTCGTAAATTTCGGTAAAATCTAATAGTGATTTTATATCTGCCAAATGGGTCCTTTCGTTCATGTTTTCATTATATGTGTATACAACTGCAAGAAAATTTGGATTTGAGGGATGAAAATTGTTGAAACTCCAATCAAAAACATGTTTTCTAATTTGAACAATATCCCGGTATTTTCTAAGTGGCTTATAAATATTTTTTTAATATGTTGATGCTTTTACGGTATTAGAAAACGCAGAACTTTAAAATACACATAACTAATAACTTAAAATTAACACTTTCCGGTTATTAAAACAACTGTTTTCCGGGCTTGACGTTTTGTCTGCAACTGCGACAGAATTTTTTTTCTAACTTATGTTATCTAGAGTTGTAAGGCTTATCGGCCAAGGCCTACGAGACCCAAAAACAATATTTTACTAGTCAATCCGGCCTTGAAGGCGTACATTTCTTGAAAATCATATAATATTCGAAAATATGTTTAAGTGTTTCATTTACTTTGCGATGTTTGCTTGGATGTCCCTAGAAATTCTAAATAGTGTCTCTAAAAAACACGTTAAAAAATTCTTAAACATCAGCAAATAATAAAAATGTAATTGCATGTTTTAACCAACATTTTCACCATATAAGCATTAACAATTTTAAATCAAACTTCGGTTTCCTTTAAGAACACAACAAATTTGTGAATAAATACGGGCATGTAAGTTTTTCATATGTACACACAAAATATCAAATTGGTGTAAATTTATAGATAATTGCTTTATAACCATTAAGACGTAACACTAATCTCACAATTATTAAATTTTTAAAAAGTTTTAAAATCACAGTGCTTACTACTCTGGACAGGGTAGATTTGGGGTAGTTAATGCGGATATGGCATTTCATGCAGCAGTTTCGTTTCAAGTCATGTGTTACTTTGCTACATAAATAATGTGTGTATCTAGTTACAACTTCATTACTAATTAGCTGTATTACGAAACAGTCTTCTTGTTGGAAGCTTGCAGTTAACGGCAAATTGAAGCATTAGATCTAAAACGAAGTCGAAGAAAGAGCAACCAAAACTGGTCAACCCTTTGAAAAAATGACCTTCACTTTACTAGAATTAAACCAAAAAATCTAAGAGAATAATCAGAAAATATTTAAACAACTGATCACAAAAGTCGCGCTCGAAGTAAAAAGAATTTGACTTTGTTCAGTTTAAATTTGACTTTTATTCGTAATCTCTGGGTTGATTTTATCTGAAACTTTTCCAGTTCAAAAATTTGAACGCAATCGTGCGGCAGCTTTAAACAGCACTTTCCGGATATCCAGTTTCCTAGAAACTTTTAAAATCTGTTACCAAATGAGCCGAAAATAAAAATAGATGAGTAGAATAGATACTTTGTTTTGAGGAAAGTTCTATCTCACTATATGTATTGAGAATTATTACATAATAATAATAGTAACATTATCTATTATAAAAAACTTGTCACTACCTATTAGGTCAACTGGTATTATTTGAATAATTTTTTATTCATTCCGGAACACACTGATGAAAATTTAATAAAATAGAAAAGTTTTCCCAATCAAAAGAAACTAGATATTGATTTTAAGGGTTTAAATTCAATTAAGCTTTTGCGACCCCGAAACTCGTCTAAGTTTCCTCAGACATTTGCATAATTTTAAATCTCCAAAACTTAAATTTGGTATTATCAGCGCTTTTTAGAAAGAAAGTCATGATTTTCAGTCGTTGCAATTGCTTCAGAGAGCTTTTTATTTTTCACTTTCAACTCATGATAATTCTGTGTATAAACAGTAAACAAGGCGTACTTAATTAAATAAATAAAGTGTTTTCATTAAGCTTCCATACATGTTTCCACATTTGGCGACTGGCTTAGAATAAAGACTTGGTGTTGACATGTCTTCCCTTTCCGAGACTTCGTTCAACTATTAGTGCCTCAGTTTGCCTTTCGCATTATGTTAAAACCGCAAAACCAAAAAAACCACCGTGCTTCTTACCCTGTAGCCCGATTCTCCTTTCTGACCCTTGTCACCCTGTAATATTAATTGAGATGGGGTTAATTTATGAATGCGGACCAGCTACATAGACAGATAATTAATAATAAAATTAAATAATGTATTCGTCGGCGCTATGATAAAAAGCTCGTTTTGATAAAATAATTTAACCCAGTAAACTCTTTCCACTCTGAATTGATTTGAATTATTTTTGGATAAAGATCTGCAGGATGAATTTTAAATATATTTTACTAATGGAAAATTGAATTTCCATTATTAACTGGTTAGAAATTAAACGATACTTGTGGCAATTCTCCTCGATAAAAAATAGTTAAATGCATTTTTATATCACCTAATTTGCATACAATAGAGTAGGATTGATCGGACTGTATTTAACTAAACCATAATTAAAATTTTGTGAAATTCTGTTATTTTATTGCTATTTTCAACTTGTAATTAAATTCTGGTTCCAATATAGCTGGCTTTATTTCACTTTATCTTTACTTAATTAATTCAATAGTGGTCCTCATCATCGCATATCAAATACATATTGCTGCATTGCATGCATGAAATTTTCTTTTTCTGTGAAGGATTCCTTCCAACAGCATATTAAGCAGCAGGATAATTTTTTCACCTACTTCTTATATAATATGATAATTTGAACGCAAATACGAAATAAATGATAAATAAAAAATTGTTAACCACCCACAAAGTTAAAAGTATCCGTCACAAGAGTTGTCTGTTGTTTGGTATAGTTCGCATGTGTACACTTTAGACAAAACATATTTCAAAGAAGTCGGAAATTAAATTAATTGATGTATTAAGGAATAGGCATCACGCTATGACTTCAATTTATATGCGAAAAAATTTAACTCAAAAGTTAATGATTAATTAATAAGTAAATGGATTTGAAAATCTCTGAAAAAGTATTATTTGCATAATCGTTAAAACTTACTAGGAGCTAAAAAGTGAGTCAGCCAACATTTTTATAACCAAAGCGGAAAAATTAAATGAGAAAAACAACTAACAAAATAAGAACAGTTTAGCTTAATTGAGAAAATATTTTTTTTGAGTAAAATACATAAAAGAACTGATTCTGTAAGATTGATTCGTAAAGATAAAGTAATTTGTATGGGATAATACAAATTAATCAATAAAAATAATTAAGTGACCGAGACTAAAAAATCAGAGAAAACCATTGGTCTATAAAGTATAAATTAAATCGTGATTTCGTTATAGGAAACTGCACTTACTATTTACTATTTGTGCTGATTTTCTTAGTCTTATAGAGTCTTAGTTGTGGGCGTAACTGGCGGTAAATAGGTAAACACCTATCCAAATTTTGGCGAATCATTGTCATGAGTATGAACAACTTAAAGTTAGAAAACTAAAATATGTAAGTAATTAAAAAAATAACTACCGGAAAACCATTCTTTCCTGGCGTGCCTGCGAGCCCCTAAATAAAAAGAAAACAAAATAAGAAATTAAAACCAAGCAAAACAGTTAAATAAAAATTAGACAGGAATAATATTTTCCACCTATGACATCGACTGCATTTAAATAATTGAATCAGATACATTCGTAATAATCATGAACACCTTTGAGCGAGTATAATAAATCAATTAATGGACATACTACAAATTAGTTGATGCCTCATTGATATATCGATTTCCATTAGTTTTATGTGAACATGGACAGAGAACTGATTATCTTCTTGCGCAAAAAATATTTCTGTCAAAGCTTCATTAATTAATTCAGCCATATTTTATTACACAATCCAATTAAATTTGAATCATAATGGATCACATCAGGAAAATGTTATAAAACGGGTTGAAATTGTACATAACAATATGAAATAATGTCGATGTTGATAACAGATAACACTGGGTTTCAACATTTGAAACGTAATTTGTTATTAAGTGGAATTTACTTACTGCAGGTCCCGATTCACCGGGTTCTCCCTTTTTTCCCTTCTTTCCTCTTTTGCCAGGCGGTCCTGGGGGTCCGGGAGGTCCGGGGGGCCCTGAAAAAAAATAATTAGGCTTAAGAAACATATAAAGAAAAAATGCACATATAACAGCTACAATAAAATAACGAAATTAATATTATATTGTTACTTAAAATAACCAAATATAATGTCTCAGTATAAAATTGTATAAAAGATGAAAATTGAATGGTTTTCAATAAGCCATGAAGTATAACTATACATTTGAATATTGCCTTAAAATAGTTAATAAATGAAGCCTTATTACACTTTACACAATTTTTTAAATTCGTCGCAGAAAAGCTCGTCCGTTTACCGAAACTAATGCGTATGATTAAATTTGAGTATTCTTTGAAAGTACCATGGGCCATAATTCTCGTATATGTTATTCTAATGGATGTAATGATGAATACCGTCTTTTGTACAAACTAATGATTATTCCTAGGAAGAACACATGAGATGGCTCGCATAGCTCATTTGTTCCAGTCAAGGTATGGACATGTTAAATCTATGAAAAATCGTATTTTCGTTAAATGTTGTACTCTGATTGGTTTAGGGTCATCGGTCACAGCGTAAATGCGACGAGATTTAAGGCGGAGATAAATGTTTAGCTTGATTTTTATTACCTTTCGAAAACCGGGAGGCAATTAGCGGATATAGCGATCCCTTTGGATCTCGGCCATTAGTCAAAGTTGTAACTTGTAAGCGGGCGGGCAAACTAAATCAAGCTCGACTAAAAGATTTGGTTCGAGTATTCGAGTACCGCCTCAAGGATGGAAACTTAACCAAGTGAATCGTAAATTTCATAATTTTTTCTTGTAATTAGCACGTGAACCGAAAGCTTCGTCCTAATCATCTAAGTTTATTGGTTACTTTTCATGATTTATAAGTACCGCAGTGATTAGCCAAGCCAAGATACGTCCAGGATTGCAAAATTAAAGTACCTACGGAAGGAAAGAGAATAAACGTGGATGCTGAAATAATAATCAGAAGCTTGACGGCCGAATAAAGTTGCGAAAAATATTACATACAAAACACCCATTTTAGTTAAAGAATTTTATGAAGGAAGTCAGAAAGGAGTGGAAGAGAAAGTATAAGTAAATAAAACATTAAGGATGTGAAGACTTATTTCACCTTCACTAGCAGAAAGGTAAAACTTGCGGGAAGAAATCAGCAAAATAATGACATTAAGCAGATGCTTCCATCAGGGACCGGAACCGATATGGACCCAAAACCGGAATGGACCCCTTTTTTCTGGACCGAAACCGAAATATTTTATTTTGGTTTTTTCCGTTTTTTTTTGGATACAGCTTGTAATATTTGAAAGAAATTAATACTGGGTTTCTGAGGACTTCTAGGAAACTTCCCATTCGATAACAAAAAATTAAAGCGAATTTTAGATTTAAAGATGCTTAGGGGAATGTCAAAATATATAATTAGATAAGAAAATACAATAATTTAGATTGCTTAAAACTATCAACTGCTTGTATTTTGTTTATTTTATGTTTATGCGAGTTTTTAGCTATGTTTCTAACGTTATTTGTGAACAAGTGGTTTGTTATTAGTAGTTGTTGGTTAAAACAGTTTTTATGGCTACTGGCAAGAATGCAAGTTGTCATTAAAAAAAAACTGGTTCTTCATTTCCAACAGTTATCTTGAGGAAAATGGAGGAAAGAGAAGTTATGCTCTAAATAATGACGTGATCCTTGCTTGGATATTTTTGGACGTTCGGTATAAGGTAGTTTTAGACGACATTCAAGTAAAAAGAGTAAAAGCACATTTAAAGTCGTTATGGACCAGACTGGTGATATTTAAAAAGGCCAATTATTCCAATTCTGAATCTGAGCCTAACCAAGACAATATGGAAACGAAATCATCTGGTTCTTTATTACACGATGAAATGGAAGCGTTTTTAAGGCATGAAGATTCAGAGTAAAAAAGCTTTAAAATTAACTAAGCAGCGCGAATTTTCGACACAATTCATTAAGAGCCGTTAACGAAATTAATTTAAATTATTTTAAATTCCTATAAAGTGGAACAAAAGAAAAAGCTTAATCCCGAGTTGAACATGTTTGCTCAAGTATTAATAAGCGAATACAAATAATAATATAGATACAACAAACAAGGAAAAAGATAATGTGATTTCTAGATAGAGCAGCCTCTATCTTTGTTCTCGTTTTTTGCATTATGTAGATTGTGGCACCGAAATTAACCGAAAAAAATTCAGAACGTAAATTTTAAATGTTTCCATGGAGCGAAACCGGAACGGAACAGTTATTTTGATTCGGTCCGGATTATCGGCGGCCATAGTCAGGAAGGATGGATATAACGAATACTCAAATCGCGTAATTTTCAAAACTTTGAAGTTAATCAGTTTAACCATGTACAGAATAGGATTATTGGAAACTGACACATTTTTTTGAGGCAAGAGGCAAGACTTGATTTTTGGACTTAAGAAATTCTCTTGATTTTTTTGCGGATTTGTGACGGAAAAAGCAACATAGCACTACAGTCGAAATCATTGAGGTAGAGATCACTTAACGACCCAGATGAAACACATTTAAATGAAGAAAAAATATATTTTAGGCATATTGCAAAAAAAATTAAAATCTATTGCAACCGCCATGTTACCTATAATTTGGTATGATTTGTTCTGTTCATTTATGCTTCTCATCTGGAAGGCAAAACACATATTTTGGACGAGTAAAATGTGAATAACTGCTGATGATAATTGGTCAATTTCCTCAACGCATAAGTTGTTAGCATGAATATCTCGCAACGGGTGTTTGTAACAGAACGACGATATAAATTAAGGCAGCAATCGGTTTTTTGAGTAATGGCGACCGCCCGGGTGTTCTTTGCATGAATTCTGATACCGAAATTACCGGAGACCACCTGGCCAACACTACCGGTACCTACTTTTATTTTGTTATATTTTACATACTAAATATGAGAAAATGTATTGCCATACCGTTGCCTCAAATAGAAATAAGAAAAAAATATTTTATTCACTGAATTAAAAAGTTTTTGTTTGGAATTGATGTACATATTTACTTTTACATTTTGGGAAACTCTAAAACACAAAGTTTCTCGAATTCAAATCGCATCAAATATCAGTTCTGGTTTAATTACCACAGACTAAGGTCAAAATGTAAATAGTAAATTTAAATTGCCATTTATATGGTTTGAGCTTAAAAGGAAACAGTTTCAGAGCTCAAACAATACATATCTGGTTCCAAATTAAAGTAACTTTGCAGCCCCGAATTTCGTGCTTAGATAAGAGCTTGCTGTTAGGACAACGTTGCCTCTAATAAACCCAATAATCTACAAGTTCTTGCTATTAGACAATACACTTATTAGACACGAACTACGAACACGAACGAAATTAAATTGAACTAACATCGATTATCTAATGGATTATATTTTTAAGGAAACGAATTTGAAACAAACATGTTACGGTAAATTGCGAGGATAAAAAGAAAGTATTTTTCTAGACACAAAACGCTTAGTTATAACACCTCAACATTAATGTGTTTTTTGTATGGAATTATAAATGGAGGTATTATTGGATATTCGTTATTACGGACGTTTTCAATGCCAAAGAAAAATAGAACTAGTTTCTCGCGGCCAATGAAAAACCCTTCCACGTGTTCGAAAAGGAGACGAGGAAAATTATTGGAATCTAGTTTTATCAAAGATCTATTATAAAATATACTTTTATAAAGTGCATTTTCTTAGTGCTTCCATAACATCCAGTATCTACTGTTTTATTAAAATACTGCAACATCATAATTTCAGTTATCATATTCTTTTAATTTATTTGTTAATGCTTGAATTAAGGATACTTTTCAAGTTTCAAAATACTAAGTCAATAACTTCTTATTCTTAATCCAAATGTGAATAATCATCAAGTGCCATAAATCAATGTTGCAAGACCAGAGGAAACATGGTTCGGAGCCGCGAGAATTATCTGAAGTGCTCATATGTAGAGCGACAAAAATTCTCCCCTGTCCTCTTGTAGATACAGGACAGGTTAGGTTTGATTTGAATGGAAAGCCATCTTACGTTGCTTGTTTAAATTTTTCAAGTGCTGTAATGTCATTATGATCTCGAGACTGATGAAATTAGCATAAGATAATGCAGGAAAATCGGGGTAAACAAGCCGGTGGCAAACAGAGCATCGACAAAAGGTAATCCGCAACTTATACTGTTACGTATGTTAGGTAGGAGATAACAAACAGATGTCTCGAGAAATTGTCGCCAAAGGCGCCGTGCCAAAATTGCGGATTTAGAATAGAGGCGTAATTCGTTTTCTAACGTTCCGGAGACTATTTTTACTCGAGAAGATTACTTACTGAAATGGCAAATGTCTGCAATAATCCGGCTAACTTTTGTAAAATTGCATTCTGGTGGTCCCTGTGACAACATCCATGTGTGAGCCGAAATTTAATTCGACGAAAATGGAAACTTTCCACGTTTCAAGTGGTTGGTGTGCTCCAAGTTCCACTAACCAGACTTTTTAAAAGTACAATTGAAAAACCAAAGAATTTACTTGAAAATCACTGTAGGAAAAATTAATTAATTATAAGCGTGTAAGAATACTTTATCGGAAGTAAACACTGTTAAATGAGGAATTATACGAAACGATGTCTCATTCTCAACGACCGCGGTATTTAAAAAACTTGGACCCTTGCTAAGCATCAGGTCTAGTTAATTTGGCTTAGATGTAGAAAGTCAAGCTATAATTAATCACATACAAAAAAACCACCAAAATTAAAGACTTAACACATGCAAATAATGGCAGACGAATGGTGAAGATGAAAGATGAAATAGAATTGGAAATTTAAGGAAACGAAATGACCGAATATTCTTCCAGAATGACACTTTGAAAGTGGGTTCACATAAACAGAACAAATTTTCGTAATTCTCTAAAATCTCACAAAAATTTCGACTCATAAAATTCCTAGATATTTTTTTACAAATACCTCGTCAGAACGATTATCCTAGACTATTCTCTTTGATGATATATTGATGGTCAT